TAAGTACACTTTAGTTTTAAATAAGAGAGTAAGTAAGAATATTTATAGCCACACATGTTATGGAAATGTCTAATGCTTAAAATCCTCCCTGAAGTCAAAATACAATTCTAATAATCTACTGTTCTAAAAAATTCCCTTAATTAAATACAAAATTTTGCACTTATCTTTGTTTTGCAGCTGAGAGTTTTAATTTTTTATATGCTGCCATAATCTGGTGAATAAAATTCTCTCATTTCGACAGCTGTTTAATCTGCTAAATATGGATCTTTTGATATAGTCTGTCTCCTTGATGGTCATCTTGTAAAGACATTAGGTTATTTTGAAGCAGGACGATGAAAAATGAGAATGCCTTTGCCGGGACTCGAACCACGGGCCTCTCGAATACGCGCCGAGTGTGCTCACCACTACACTATGACGACATGCTAAGAAGGCAGGAGAAATACTTTATACACTCACCCTTTTAAAGGATGACTGGGGATTAGTGGATCCAATCACCAAATCCTGGTGGTGGAGAATCATCATCCATCCCTTTTTTTAGTTCGGGTGCCACTGTAGAGACATTAGGTTATTTCGAAGCAGAAGAGATGAAAAATGAGAAATGCCTTTGCCAGGACTTGAACCACGGGCCTCTCAAATACATGTCGAGCGTGCTGACCACTACACTACGAGGATGGGAGAAATAATCTTAAGCAGGCTCTATTCCTCATTCACTGTTGGTCTCTTTTCCTTTTGTGCTGATGTTCAGCCGAATCCATCTAGCCAATCTTCTTTCCTGTAACCACCAGCTTTGGTTGCTGGAAAATGGTATCTAGTTGCTGTCCTTCTTTTTCCTTCTCTGCTCATCTAAATGCTTTTTAAGGTTACGATCAACAAAATATGCGATTTGTTGGTGCTCTGATTTCTCGACTGATGAAAATTATAGAAAGTGAAATTTTCAAATTAAAAATAAATTCAACTTGAAGATCTTGCTAAGGGCTACACTTCGACACATATCTCTTCGATATGTGTCGAAGTTTTATTTAAAAAGAGTTCATAGAGTTTTATTTAAAAAACTAAAATTTAAAGTTTACAGATATTTAGATTTCAGAAAGTGAAGAATGCAAGCAAGGTAAAATGTTTGAAAATTTTTGATTAATATGTAAAGTTTTCCTTGTTATTAAGAACATTATAACAGAAAAATAGCACACAATTTTCTGTCTATTTTAATAAAATTTTCATCGAGAGATCTTGATTTTTCCAATATTAATGTAGTAAAAATTTATCTTTAGTACTTCATTATTTTTGAATTCAATATTATCAACTCACAATCCACAAGCAGCATTCATTTATTAAACAGCTCATGCAATAACTATCTTGTATTATAATAATATAAATAATTAATTTTCTGATAATATAGATGTGAGGACTAAGCCCTTTACTAAATTTATTCATTCAGCATTTCACTTAATGTCATAATTTATATAGTTTACATAATATGCTATTTAAACATTCATTAAGCATTACATATTGTTGTGATACTGATGCATAAGCTGTATTTTACAGAATGAATTTCTCTATCCCCACCTTTCAGTTTAATTGTTCTTACCTCTTAAGATAATCACTGATACGGACACATCAGGGGATGTGAGCAGCAATCAGATGATAACTCTCTCTCAGTTGACTGCTACTTTCTTGATGCTCTGTATGAGCATGGTTCACCCATTCTTGCCAACTTCATAGAATGGTAGCATCGCTCTGATTCAGTTGTCTAGTGATCCGAAAATTTGACAATCCTGCTTCTTTTAGTCCATTTGTACATCCTCTCTTAAATGGTGACATCTGCTCATACTGTTCATGAACCTGTCTGCAAGGCGTTGGTATATTCCATGTGGGTCAACCACATTTGCATGGAAGTTATGCCTTAGCACTGGAATGACCTTTGCTATATATACCATCCAGATGCTCCTCTGCAGTGTGCTGAAACACCAGCTAGTCAGTCAGCTAGTCGGTCATTTACCGCCAAAATTTAACTATTTGCATATTCTATTGACATACATAATTTCATGCCATTCAGGTAACTCCTTGGTACATCCCTTTTTCCAGAGTGAAAAACTAATGGATATTGTAAGAAGAATTGCAGGGAAGCAAGCTAAAGAAATAATCAATACTTTTTAATTAAAATTAGTGTAGTCACATTTTCTCTGCAGTGTAGCATATAAGATGAGAGAAGTGGAAGTATTGCTGATGTTATGGGACACGAGATCCCTAAAGGAAAGTACAAATTTCTTAATTTTTGTTTTTAAAGACTATTATGGCAAATGAGATCTCATATGGAGCTTGGGGTTCGACTCGGAGATTAGCAGCAGGATCCTAGCTATCTCTCCAATAATACACTAAATTTGAATGATTTTGATTGACACATCCCATCACCTACTGGAATGTGCTTTTAACAAATGTGAAAATGTGAACAGTAACTTCTTTATACACTTTCACTACCTTTCAACATTCATTAGCTTGACCACTGAGATAAATATTCATCCATTGTTTAGCAAATAATATGAATAAGCATTAACAAAATTGACATATGTGATCCTTTCCAATAAAAAGGCAATAGATGATATGGTAATACAAAAAGATATTCTTCAATAAAAAATAAGCAAAATAATGCCACCTTTAGTTTCTATTAATTTTTGACACAAGAAAAAATTCTGGGGATGCATATAACTTTTTCAACCTCCCCTCCCAATGGATACACCACTGATCAGTCACATACAAACATAACATTCCATTGCTTATATATTTACAGGGGGAGAGACAGAGAACACTCTAACAAAATGTTTAACTTAAGGGCAGTTAAAACTAAACACATATGTTGTTGTAACACACATATATAGAATGCATTTTACTTATGGAACTCAGGGCAGAAATGGAGCAGCAGCTTTAAGGCAAATAGGAATCATTTACTGTACCTTTTTCCAACATCTGCTCCACTTCAGCTGTAGCCCCATAGATAAAATGCATGTCACCAAGCTCCACATTCATGTAGTGATGCATACCACTCAGAATCTGCTTACAGAACATCAATTTAGATTGATGCTTTTAATTACAGCTCAACATTGTTATGTCCTGCGTTATAGCAAGAGTCTTTGTAGCTCTTTCAATAGTTTTTGGGTTGTATTACTGATCAATTAGTGCCCTAGCTTATAATGGCAACCCTAGACCTGGTTTGAAAAGGAAAAGGACAGTGCAATGTTTGGTTAAAGAATATAATAGCAAAGATTCAGAAACTTTTATAAAGAATAAAATAATATACCCTGTCTTGCAAAAGACCTTGTGGAGACATTAGGTATTTTTTGAAAACAGGAGAGATGAAAAATGTGCAATGCCCTCAGCGGAATTCGAACCACGGACCTCTCGATATACGAGTCGAGCGTGCTGACCACTGCACCACGAAGGCATTCTAAGAAGGTGGGAGAAATACCTTATATACTCTCCCTTTTAAAGAGTGACTGGGGATTAGGGGATCCAATTGCCAAACCTTAGTGGTGAAGAATAATCATTCAACACCTTTTAGTTCAGGCACCACTGTAGAGACATTAGTTTTCTTTTTTATTTTAAAGCAGGAGAGAAGAAAAATGAGGAATGCCCTCGCCAGGACTCGAACCATGGACCTCTCGAATACACATCGAGCATGCTAACCATTACACGAGGGCATGCTAAGAAGGTTGAAGAAATACCTTACAAGCTAAAGAATGCAAAACCCCCATTCAGAGGATAGAACTTAAAGAACATTAATATTCAAATAAAACAATCTGATAAGGATAAAAATTTCATTCTCTAAAAGAACAATTAGCTGTATAATCCCAACTCATAAACAATCACTACTTCCTCTTTCAGTGAATAATGAAAATTTCAAAATTTCCATCATAGCATGAATCTTAAGTAAAACTCTGTCAGATATCTCAATCAAAAGAATTTGAATGGAATTAAAAATCCACTTATGTTCTTTGATTCAGTTGACGTATATACAATAAGCCATACTAAAATATGCTTATTGTTCTTTGTTCTAAAAATTGAATCACGCTTGTCTTGCAGAACATGCAGAAAAGTGATATATGATAAAAGAAAAGAAATGCAAAGGTGTTTTCATTTAATGCATGGAATGTGAATCCTAACATCCTAAATATGGATAATTTTAAGGGTTAGTAATTTTTTTACTACCAGAAATTCTGGAAAAAATATTAAAAACATTTCAATGGAAGATGTCCATACAGTTCATTAAATTGAGTTTTCATATCACTGAAATTTTGCTATAGCAATATAAAATAACATTAAGTATATACGAAATTGGATTGAACCAAAGGGTTTGGTCATTATAAGCCGAGCTCATTATAGTGGCGTTCGACTGTATATGTACATATAAATATGGAATAAAGCAGACTGAGGTGTAATGATGTAATAATTTCGATTACGTAGATACTGAGGAATTGATCCATTATGAAAAGCAACTTTGGCAGCTGAGGCAGATTAAATATTCATTAAATATTCAGTTGGCATTTGCTGCCACAAAAAATTGTTGAATTAATCACATCTACCATTTGCTAATTTGATTAATCTGATAATCTAATTTCTGAACAAAATCTCTATTCCAATTTTAAATTTCCTAATCCAATTGATTTACAAATTTAACAATGAAAAAGGGATTTTGTTCGGAAATGCAAAAAGACAAAATGTGATCCTTATGAATGTACAATGGAATTCCAATCTCATTTGAAAAATCCAGACCTTTCTGTGGAATCAACAATGATTTTCTTGTTTTAATTGTTTAAATTTTATTAGTTTAGCATTTTTAATTACCAATTCTAATTTATTAAAATTTCATATTTTTGATTACCACGATAATACATATCTTTACTATCTAAATTTTTACATTGCATTTCCTGAGATAATTTTTCATTTATATATTCTGTATTATATATATATATATATATATATTGTATTATAAAAACTCAAATAAGATAAAAACATCAAAGAAATTTATTATCAAGTCATTTACAAAAAATAAATTACATATTTTTTCACCAGAATATAACATAAATCCAAGTATATATAATTATCAGATCTCATTCCACTAAACTTAGCCGTTTAACTTAATTCTTGTAAAGTTTTCATTAAAAATTCATGCTAACAGAATTAATAAAATTCATAAGCTCATACCATCATGCATCTATAAAAATTATAAATTTTAAGGGGGGGGGAAGCAATTTTTTAAAATCACTCTTAGTTTACTTTCTCTAAAAAAAAGAATCTGCTTTCCCCCCAAAAAACCCCACTTTTGTTGTTTTTGTTATAGCAGCGCTGATATCTGTAATTAACATTTTTAAATAAGGTAAAATTACAATTATGTACAAAGCTGGTTGATTTGATTAAAAATATATATACAAAAATTTACAGTATAAAACTGAGATAAAATCACATTCTGTACATCATTTTCCTTGGTTAAACACATAAAAATTTTATATGCATTAATTACTTAAAAAAGTATGCTTTGTACATTTATACAACATAGATAAGAGCCTCAATGGACATCAGTTTCATATACAACAAATATATTTACATTCAATAAATTTGTAACTATATAATATAAACCGAATGTCCTAGTAATATTTAAAAAAATAAAATATCATAAATTCTTTATATCAGTTTCAAGTTCATATAATTTAGCTTTTAACCGTTTTAAGGCTCCTGCAGTCTGCTGTGAATGTTGGGCAGTCTCATGCACTGCTTTTAGAAGTTCCAAGTCTTTCTTATCATGTTCAAATATCAGAACAGCCTGGAAGAAATAAATTAGCAGCAAGCATTATGCATAAATAAAAGAAAATTATTTATTGAATGTAACTTATTTAAAGATTTATTATTTATTATTAATATTATTTTTAAAGAAGACATTTCTTTAAACTAAAAAGGAATTTTGTCCATCAGCTGCAGTGGATAACGAGAAGAAAATAAAAACCGGACTAACACAGAAATCACTCAATTTTGCAACTTAACAACAACAACAAATGATGCTTTAAAAATTACTATGTCATCTATAAACAGTGTTAAAACAACTGTGCTAATAATAATATCATGTTACTAAGGTGTTACAAAAGTGAAAGATTTATACGGAGAAATGCTCAGATCAACCAAATTTGTATTTAAGATATTTGTTAAATGAAAACTATTTTGTCATCAAAAATGAAAAGGCAGAATACACAGAAAATTTTAAACAATTTAGATTAGAGATTTTACATCTAAGTATCTTATTTTGAAAAAAGTCTACTCAGTAGATTGCTAAAGAATGACAGAGAATTAGCATAACAATAATAGCAATAATAATACTGGCATTTATGTCCTTCTAATTTCACTCTATTGGTTTCTTCATTAGATGGAAGAAAAACAGTTAAAAAAGGCATTCCAATAAAACTATCAGATGCACACATGGTTCAATTAGTTTTGATTGCTGATTTTGTTGGATTATTTCTTTTACTCTAATGTAAATATGATCATAATGCAAATGTGATAAATAAATTGAGATTATCTCACTGAAACAGAAAAGCACCTACTGATACTTTTACTCAGACAAATCATGTTTATATTAACATAGAACTGTTAATGTCCTTCATATTACCTGTTCAATAAGGAAAAGGAATTAAAATTTAACAAATGATATTCATGAGCTAAGTAATCAATTTTCAATATCAATATAGTGAATTCAGAGAATTTCTCATAAAAAATTTCCTTTTGAAACAGTAACAATTATTTGTACCTTTCTTTATTCAGTTTAAAAGACTTTATAATACAAGATTTCTTCACTGTGATTTTTCTTTAAATTTATTTTATTCCAATAATATGACTTGAACTTTGAAGTGAAGTCGTCGATTTTACATTGCAAGACTAAAATTTAGAATGCTAGCCACTTTCAAGTTTTTTTTTTTGGGGGGGGGGACGAGTTTCAGTCATTAAATCTGTACATTAAGGAAAATAAACCTTCATTTGCACAGAAATAAAATAACACCACAAATATAAATATATATTAATATATATATATATAATATTATGAAATAATATATATATATATATATTATATATGAAAGTATATTAGTTCCTAATGTGAGTTAGAAGCAAATGTGTGGATCATAAAGTATAAAATTGATAGTAGACTAAAAATAAAAATAACTTTCACATCATATACAACAATTAATTCCAACTCAAGAACCATTTAAAGTTTTTTTAATTATAATATTCATCATAAAATTTCCAAAATATACACACTATTTATTGTGTTATAACAAAAGAAATAACAAAAAAGAAAGGAGAAGTACATACTTTCATTAATTGCTTTTCCATGTCCTCAATGCGAGACTTTAAATTTTTAATATCTGTCTGGAAGCCAGATATTTCTAAGCGACGAAATCTTTCCAAATTTTTCAAACGCTTTTTTTCTAGTTTCAGTTGTTCAGTAAGCGAGGCATTTCTAGACTGTAAAAGACAAATATAACAAATAAACAACAGGTGTGTGAATTCCTATTATTTTAAATGTCTACTTTTATACAGTAAGATGTTAACATGCTTACATTATAGTATAAACAATAAAACTGAACATTTTACTATTTTCTTTCATCAAATTTATTAAAAATAATAATATTATTATAAATAATGTGAATAATACCAGTTAGAATCAGACACAATACTTAAATTGTTTATGCTTTCTGTGAATTTATACATTACTATCATTGATAAGTTCAAAAAATAAATATTATGTACCAATACATTTTCATTGGTTGGATTCGTTATCTATTGGGTTGTTCGGAAAGTAATTTCGTTTTTCTTGGGGAACATGAAAGACAATTTTCGTATAATGAATAAATATTTTATTAAATTATATATTGGCCATTCTGGTCCAACACCTTTTGCCATCTTTCTGGCAGTAACATGATTCCTCGCTCATAAAAGTTTTGGTCCTTGCTGGCAAAAACTGATTCAGGTGGTTTTTGACATCTTCATTTGAGGTAAAGGTTTTACCATCCAAAAAATTTTGCAGGGACCGGAACAAATAATAATCGGAAGGCGCCAGATCTGGAGAATATGGTGGGTGTTGCAGTATGTCCCATTCAAGCTGTAAAAGCTTTTGGCGAGTGACCAAACTTGTATGAGGTCTTGCATTATCCTGGTGGAACACTACACCCTTCCTGTTGGTTAATTCTGGCCTCTTCTGTTTAAGCGCATCATTCAATTTGTCCAGCTGATGACAATAGACTTCCAAATTAATAGTTGTATTGTCCGGTAAAAGCTAAAAAAAAAAAAAAAAAAAAAAAAAAAAAAAAAAAAAAAAAGATTCCTTTGAAATCCCACCAAATGGACAGCATCACCTTTTTTTTGGTGAATGTTGGCTTTTGAAACGCTTTGAGCCGGTTCATCTTTTCTGCTCCATGACCTCTTGCATTTCACATTGTTGTATACGACCCATTTTTCGTCCCCAGTAATAATCCGCTACAAAAATGGATCATTTTCCTGACGTCTGAGGAGCGAATCACACTCGTCAACACGACGACACAAATTTCACTCCGTAAACATGGGGCACCCACACATTGAGCTTCGAAATTAAGCCCAGGCCTTTCAAGTGGCCATAAACAGTCGAATTCAACAAATTTAACCTCTCACCGATCTCTCGTGTGGTTATTCGCCGATTTGCATCAACTAATGCCTTTATCGCATCTTTGTCAGCTTCGACCGGCCTTCCAGACCGTGGTGCATCTTCGACATCAAAACTGCCGGATCGAAACTTTGCAAACCAGTTCTGGCACTGGCGTACTGTTAACACGCCTTCTCCATACACATCTGTCAATTTTTTTCTCGCTTGGACAGCATTTTTACCTTTTCTGAAGTAAAAAAGTAAAATATGACGAAAATGCTGCTTATTGCTCTCCATATTTAAAAGAGCACCAACCAAAAACTACTGCGTAGAATTAATAGAACTTTTTCACACACAAGCCTTGTAATATCAGCTCTCAAGACATATAATGGTTATGCCGCTTAAGTGTGAAGTTGGTTTCAAAAAAATGTAATTAAGTCCTCAGACGGGGAAAAACGAAATTACTTTCCGAACAACCCAATATTATGCCAAGAACATAGCAGCTACCTGATATGGAAAAGTAATACTCATGGAAGACTTTCTAAGAGAAACTGCTCATTCTATTTTAGATACAAAAAATGCACAAAGTCCCTATAAACAATTTATTCCCTGAAAATGAATCTCAGATGGAAATATCATTATCCAGTGGTCTTACCAATTGACTCTGTGGGTCTAATGTTTTTCTAGAAAATATAAATAAAAACTGAATACAGTATAATTACACACTATCTAACATATCAACTAGACAAGAAATTTATAGCTATATGTGAAATAACTCCGAGCAAAATTTGCATGATTTAAGATGTTAACTGCAGTGATACTTGAAAATTAATAACAATTACCATATTTGACGGCATATAAGACACACCCTTATTTAGAAGGCCACACACATGTAGATGTAGAAAAAGTTATGTGTCTCTAGACCTTTATCCAGGCTAAAAATAGCATTCAGTATTGAAAGTTAACCTGTGTCCTTCAATCCTGTTCCTATAAGACCCTATAAGACTTGTGTCCTGTGTTCCTATAAGATGCAGATAACTTTTTTTGAGACCAAATTTAGGAAAAAAGTGCGTCTTATATGCCGTCAAATACGGTATATATTTCTGCAGGGAAAAGACATGAACACTTTTATAAATATTTCTAAAAGCTACCATAGAACTGCTAAAAATAAATTTAAACAAAGAAGGAGCAATGTTGAGAACTGGATTTTCTAGAGGCATTTCACATTCATAAAAATCTTTCTGTTCTAGTTAACGATCCTAATTCCAATCCAAATTTGCCTTCGGCTTTTAGAGAAATTATGTTTTAGTTCTGGTTTCGGAAACAGATGGCGCCACTTGCTTATTCTTGTCCAGGCTTTCTTATCTTATCTAATCATTATTTCCTGTCTTGTTCATTTGCGGTTTTGCAGCTGAAGATGATGATTCGGTAAAACCATCGAAACTAGTCCTGTGAAAATTTTGTAGGTATAACGCTGATTTTTGTTGTTTGACTTCTGAATTAAGATATAAGAGTAAAGAAACTGAGATCACTGAGCCGGGTAACAGAGTGGATATATATATATAAATATATTTATATACGTTTGGTGCGGCCGATTGCAACCAAAATACGAGGTGCACATCTACATGTTATAGCAGTCCTATATACAAAATGTCAACGTTCTGAGGCTACTCGTTTTTGAGTTATGCGAGATACGTACGTACGTACATATGTTCATACAGACGCTACGAAAATTTCTCTTCAGAATTCATTTTGAAGCAGTTTTATAATTTTTTTGGAGGAAAAGAGTGTTTTATTCTGTCCTTACGTACAGATATCACGGAAATACATCGTTAAATTGCATTTGAAAGAGGTCAAAATGGGATATTTTCGTTGAAATATGCTGCCTGAATCTTTTCGCGATTACAATACTTCCTTTTTACTTTGTACAAGGAAGTAAAAATTATAATTGTACATATGTTTACATAATGTATCTTTAAAATATATTTATTAATATAAAAAATAAATGACATAAAATATAAATACTATAATAATAATAATAATAATAAAACTAAACTCAGTGGCGTAAGAGCCCTAATGGGCCAAGGCCTGCAGCGTCTGAAATCTGCTTTCTTGACCGTGGTCCCCAGGTTGCGTAAGCATATGCGCAGAACAAGTGGTCAGTTTGTCACAGGAACCCCCAGTGTTTAGTCCCCAAGCGAACTTGGTACCCATTTTATCGACCCAAGAGATGGAAATCAAGGGATGAAAGGCGATGCGCTAGACACTGCGCCACTACTATATTATAATAGTATATATTGATAATGTATTATAATATTCGCAAATTAATTTAAATTTTAATGCAAACCTTGTCTACGTACCACTCTACATGATATCGCAAATCAGGGGGCTTAATCTGTGACCTTTCAATTTGACATATGATTCTCAATATTCACTTGTTAAACCATTTCTTTTTGAACTCAAAATATTTTTCATATAAGAAAAGATTTGTTCACAGAGATATGTGGAACCAAACACGGAGGGCAGAGCACATGCAATTTTCTTGAAACAGTTAAATCTCTCCAGCACTGACATGCAGCAATTTAAAATGGCTAAAGTTGTCTTCCAGATTTATTTGTAATTGGTAAGTTTTGCATTCTAAATTATGAAAAGGTCTGTTCAGTAAGTTTCATTTCAAAATTATCAACTTCCATCCACGCAAAAATTCACAAACTGGATAGGATTGTTAATGGGTCTATTAAATCTGGCTTGATTAGGAAGGAAAATATAAGCATATAAGCTTCAAAATCTTTGCATCGTTTGGAAAATTCCTCATTAAGTGCTTTAATGCAGGTTTGAAGTTCATCTTTAAGTCTTTGTATTTGCAGGTGCTTTACATTTGGAACGTATTTATAGATACTAGTACTAATATCACAAGAAAATATATTTAATTTTGTAGCAAAACCTTTCTAATATAAGAAAGTTCAAGCACTGTTTGGCTCTTTCTTTGAAATTCTTAGTTCAGTTCACAGAGATGTTTAGTTATGTCATTCAGAAAAATAATTTGCATAACCATTCCTTATCTTTCAATTTGGGAAACCGTTGATTCTTTTCATTAAGGAAAACTTTAATGTGTACATGCATAACCCAAACTTATTCAAGATATTATTACCTCAACTAAGCCAATAAACATGGCTATATCAGATGAGATCTACATATTTGCTTTTCATTTCTTCTAAAAGAGATTTGAATTGTCTGTATACCAACAAAGAACGAAACACTATGAAATTAACTATTTTAACAATAGTGTTCATTCCACAAATTAAGTGCATTGATGAAATTCTGGAAACAACTTTCCTGATGGTGCAGGGAGAGACAGGGCAATTTATCTCTGCCTGATAACTTTGTAGAGTGCAGCAGAATGCCACTGAGAATTGTATCACATGCCAGACAGGTTGTTGACACCCGGGTTATAACATGACACATGATTATCATTACCGTGATTTCAATAAAAAAGCTCGATGTAGTACCATAACTCATTCTGGAATATATAAATATGTTTATTGTATAAAAATGTATCTTTACGATTTAAAAAACAAAATGTCACAGAACTTGTGTTTTTGGCAGAGGAGGGTTTATGTAATTTAAGAAAAGCTCAAAATGACTTATGCCCCCCTTTTTTCTATTTAAAGATGATTCTAAGTAAATGATAGATTTAAACAATTATGAAGGTGAGCAGTTAAAAAGGAAGTGTGTGTGTGTGTGTAATCTAACTATAATTGATTTTTGCAATTTCTTCTCTAAGGCATATGTGAATGTTCTGGGCAATAGAATCTAAAATTCGTTAATTAAATAAATAACATTAATTATACCAAAAACAAACAGCTGCATGGGGTATGCTTTTAAATGGCAATAAAATTTTAATTTCATCACATTTCAAATTACCATGCAACAAGATTCATTGTTAAAAATTAATTGTAAAAAGATTTAAATGTAAAAAAATCAAGTAATATCATGCAAAATAGGTTATTCTAAGTTGTATTAAATGATCTAAATTTTCTTATACAACATCAGTGGCTAAAGTTACAATAAACACATCTTTTTTCTTCTTTCTATAGTCCAGAAATCCCCCTTAAAAAATTATTAGCGCCTTAATTTATTTTATTTAAAAAATATTGCCCTTCTTCACAAGTCTGAAAGAATTAGAGTAAAATGATTTTGATTCAAAATATCAACTGCAAGGCAATCCATAGTCTGTATCAAACCAGAAGCCTTGTATTAGGACAGCAAATTAACTGCTTTCTCCTCCCCAAATCATATTTGCTCATTTCACATCTCTATACACCATTTTAATACAGCTGCCTTTATAAAAGTCGAGTATACCTGTGAAAACTTTTATAAACCGAATAACAAAAAGCAGTTACCACTAATTTATGCATGGAAAAGACATGAGCAATTTCAGATTTTTCCTTCCTTCCAAAATTTTAGCAAATCACACCAAATAACTCAAACCTTAAATAATATACTAAATCAATGATTATGTGATAAACGTGCAGCCCATATATAAAAGTAAAATTTGAACAATTTGAATTTCACTTTCAAGAATTTCCAAAACAGCAAACATAGTAAATTTTAGAAAATCAAAGAAGGTTTAGAGTTGTTGGCAATGACAGTGGAAAACAATGCAATTTTCTAAACTGAGCTGTTAAATATTAAGTAGTGGAAAATAAAGGTTTGATTTACTTGATTATGGCAAAGCATGTAAGACTTAGCTGCTAAAGGGTAGGGATGCTTTCATATTACTTTCTACTACAGGAAATCAGCTCTTATTTGCATTACACATAGAGAAAATCACAGCACCCATGTGGCTGGCCTGCTTGTTGAGACATAGTGGATACTAAGACGCAAGTCAGAAATGAAGATCATTTACTAATATCTCAATACTGTTTGGACTACAGGTAAATAAATTTGCAATTTCTATATTTTTCTGTCTGTTTAAGTTGAAAAATATGACAGTACATTCAGATGCTTTAATTGACACATTTTTTTTTGCATAATACAGTCTTTCATAGACAATCAAATTATTATGCAAAACTACCCTAAATTTGCATCCCCTTTTAAATGCAAATAAAAAAAAGGGGGGATTATCTTTGGATTTCTTTTATTAATGAAAACAAGTACAATGAACCCTATCTAAGATGACCACCCAAAATTTCAGATACATTTGATCTCCTGTGGAAGTGATCATCTTAGAGAAGTATGTTCAATACTGGTGCTTGTGCACTCAGAGTCACTTCCAGAAGTAGTCATCTAAGAGATGGATCCATCACAAAAGGGTTCATTGTGCTATTGGAGTTCTTTTGTAAAAGCGAAGTGGTGTAAAAGTAAACTTTTATAAAACTGAGATACATGTAATGCCCCCAATACTCAAAACTTTCCTTTATTATTACATGGGAGTTCGATTAAATAATAGTCATAAGATGTCATACGTGTTCCTAGTCACTAATATAACATTATTTAAGTCTGCAAAAAGACTGCTGTTTTTCTCTTGCAGAAACTGTCTCTATCTTAAAGAATATTACAATATTTCTAACATTTCATTCATTTTATATATACATTGTTCATTTTTCATTGTTATAAATATTTTTCTCTAATATCATATTGAAATTAGGGTTATTAATGAGATCAGGCTATCACAGTTCCCTTAAATGAAAGGAAGAAATATCTAAAAATTCATGATTTTTTTAATTATGATTTTCCTCTTATTACAGTGAATTGGAACCATATCTACAACATATCAGGGTAAAGGCTACCTACCTGCCTATTAGCAAGGGTACCTATCTATTTGTAAGGAAAAATTTATATTGGATACCTTAAAAGGATATGCAGTAAATTAATTTTATCATGGCATGAAGAATTACTTATATCTTGACATTTAATAAAGGTATAAAAAAGAATAAAATTTAAAATTTAGTAGAAATTGGCAAATCAAGAATACCTCTAATGATTGTAATGTTTCTTTTAAATTTTCTCTCTCCTTTCCTAAAGTAGAAGTAGCACTTTCAGCCTGCTGCCTACTGAGTTTTGAAATATTTCTTATTTCTTTCAGTTCTTGCTCCATAAGCTGGGGGGGGGGGAAAGAAAGCATAAATGAAATTTAAAAAATCTAAATTAATAAGCATTCATTTTACACAATGAATATTTGCAGAAATTTGAAGTTTCTCAAACCATTCCAAGAAGCTGAAATTTTTTCAGTTTTGAATTCTTGCCATAAAATGAGTACTTCTTGTATTAAGAACTCGCTAACAGGTAAATTAGAAACTTACATTTCTTTGAACCACTGAATTAAGTCTATTCCAAAATTTCAGATCATCTGGAATTTCTTTGAAAAATCTTTCATATTTTTCAAGAATCATGTCAAGATTTATTCTAATAAAAGTAATGTTTTGACTAAGGAATTTTTTTTTTCTATGTTATAGGGGGAATTCTTTCAACTTCAATAATTTTAATGTTAAATGAGATAGACAAAGCTTTTCTTTTGTTCATGATTGCCCAAAATATTTTAAATTAAAAAAGGGGTTAACAAAAGTTAAGGGGGAAGAAGTGTTACAAAAATTTGTGTATACAATGAACTTAACATACACATTATGTTCAGATAAACAGAATAACAAATGATCAGGAATGAAGGGCTGTATTCACTCGATTAGGAAGATGGATGGGTTAGGGTAATTAATAAACAGGTGACAGTCAGGATACTTTGAAAAATCAGTTTCTTGGATAGCTAAAGAGATTTTAACATTATAACATGTAATATAAAAAAATATTTAGCTCTTTCTTATTACCACATACCTGGTTTGAATATTTGATAGAACTACTGTAGCAACATTTGGAAGAATTGCTTTTTGGCATATTTTTGAGTATGCCAATCCACACAGGCATGTACCACACATGTGTTTGAGTATACATGGATTTATGTGTTTTATATTTACCTGTCATTTCACTGAATAATATCCATTGACCGTAAAAATATACATATCGTTCATACAGACTGTTCTTTTCCTCATATAATTACTTATTTCTAAAAAATGCTTCCTTTTATTATTACTTATAAATAGGACAATATTTAGCCAAATAAAAGCTTTTCATCAATTGACAAAATTGCCAATCAGTTGCTGAACTTTAAGGCAGGGTGAAGACTACCTATTTCATAAATTACTTGGATTGAAATTTGGTGAAACAATTAGTTATTTATTGAGTTTAGGGAAAAGTCTCATTTGACAATCAAAAACTTTGTCTTGATGTCTCACAGTACTCAAAGAACCATTAGCAAATATATAGAGGTCAGCATGGATGCGTAACAAGATTTTTGCCCAAACTAGAATACTATCTCCTCTGTAAGTAACCTCCTTCTGAGAATGCTAGACTGTTTACATTCCTTTTCTGCTTCTCAGATCATAGCAGAATATCAGATACAGTGGACGGAGTACTTGGATTCATCTACGAATATTACCAAACTTCGCTGTTTTCTGCATCATGTGACATGTTCACTTCTACCTTTCATTAATGAACCATCCATGTAAAAATATATCAGGGGAACAAACACAGAATTTCATTTGCCAAACAAGTTTTGTATGTGAAGCACTCTCCCTATTGAAATAGGATCTCAACATCATTTATTGCTACAAAATGAGTCGCAGAAAGTTGAGATGCATTCACAATTTCTTTTCTGGTTAAGATAGTCAGAATGCAATTGTTAAAAGGAGTAGTAACTGGCATAAAAACTGGGACTACTTTTAAAACAGCAAACTACATAAGGAATTGATTCCTTTACATGTTGATTTTACTTTAACTCACATCTGTCTTACCATTTAGTTTATGAAATACCCATTTCTATCCAGTCAACTCCTCACATTCCAAGCAATACAGGTAAAGATTTTTCTAGGATACAGTATGCAAAACTTCACATACAAATTTTCAATTAAAAAAATGGGGGGATAAATAGCGTGTACTGATGTCAATATATTTAGACATGAATTCTTAACATTCAAAACAGCATTAATATAAGAAACATAATTTACATTCCTAATTCACTATTTCAATTAATTTTTGATAAAATTTTATATAACTCATATTTCAGAAACTATTTTTAGAAAAAAAGAGCTTTGAATTCAAGAAACTTACTTTTAACTCTGTAGTTAATTTCCGATTATTTGCTCGCAAGTCTTTCAGCTTTTCTTCACATAATTTATGCCCCAGCCCTTGTGTACAATATTTGCATTCATATGTACTAACAGATTTGACTTTATCTTTGTTTGCATCAACAGTAGTGAGCATTTCTTTAACAGCAGCTTCCAAATCATCAAAATCTGAAACTTTATCTAACTTTCTTGACAAATCAGCAAACCAATTAGCTTTATCTGTTTCTCTCTGAACTTCTTCTTGCCTCAGTTTTTGTTTCAGAGATAGACATTCATTAATACTCTCTCGAAGCAATTCTTCAGTTTCTTGAAGCCTATAAAAATAATATGTATATCACCAGTTTTTCCAACACAAAGAAAATTTTAAATAGTGCTTGCTTTTCATTACATAAATAAATATGAAATAAAAGTACAATAGACATATTCAATAGCTATGCAACAGATATAGATTTGACCAGATATTTTTTTACCAAATATTTTGTTTAATTTAAAGTTAGATATTTGGATGCTTAGTCGTTAGGCATCAAGTTTATTTTAGCAACGTGACGTTTTAGACGTAAAATTAATTTAGTAAAACTATAGAAAAACTCAATAAGCAATATTTTTACAACACATTGCACGTATCCATAATCGCTGAATTTTAGTATATAGCAGTAGAAATAAATGGAAAAATAAAGAATGTTTTTTTTTAAAAGGTTCAGAAGAAAAGTTTCAATTCGAAACTTTTGGATTTTTAAAGATAATGCAATGGAATTTACTTGAATCTTCCATCAATTTTAGTTTAAACTTGAATATTAACAGCATAAAATTTGCTAAAAATAATATTGAAATCCATGAACAACAATTTTATAAAACTTTGAATATATTAGAAATTGGAATCATTGAATATTTGTATAGCACAAAACAAACTCCTGGAAAGATGAAAAATGTTCCAGAACATATTTATTAATTTTTAATTATTTATTTTTAAATTTTGCATACATATGTAAAAATATTAAGTATACTTGTTAAAAAATCTGGGACATTCATCCTAAAATGCAAAACTGCATTATGTTATTTGCCAGATGACTGCAGTTAATTAGGCCCCATTTACAGATGATCCAAAATTTCCATAATGTTATGAAGATAACCTAGTCACTAAAAGAACTTTCTAGTCAAGAATAGTTTGCTCTTGTTTAAAATAAATGTAAGAACAGAAATTTAATTTAAAATACAAGACATTGAAATGAGATGGAATACTATAAGTTAAGCCACTTAATCAGCATTAAAAAATTTTATACCTTTACATGCTGCTTTTATATCTTTACATACATACAATGAAATCTGAATTTTTCAGAGCATTAATAGTCACTAATTGAAAATTGTTTTCATTTATTTCCCCTTTCTGAAAAAAATTACTAAAATATGCCCATCAAAACCAGTAATTTAAAAAATTATTCTAATAATACTAACATTAAATTGATATTTATTCTCAAAGTATTGTGAATTATTTGGAATCCTGAAAGATACATTGAAAGGAAACATAGACAAGCAATTCTAAATTATTCAACTAAATCAACATTTTTCAGTAATAATTACTGTGGATTCAAAATTTAAAAATCTCTCCATCTCCTCAATGATCAAAGTAATGATTAGAGTACCAAGTAATACATATTATAATTAACTATCAAGATTAAAGTGAAGAATATGATAAAAATATCAAACTCTTCTGAATGATCAGACCATAACTAAAAATATTTTTGAGCCTTTAGTCATAAACACACTTTTAGTAATGATACAGAAGATCATATCAGCTAAGCCAAAATTCATCCTTAAATTAACATAGATTTACTTGAAATTCTACTGCAAAGGGGAGAGTTCTTTAAAAGTTAGGAAGTTTTTCAACAAAACAAATGTCAGTTTAAGTTTAAGAAAAAATTCTATAACTTGTTCACAATTCATAGGATCTTTTATTGAGTGAAAATCTATTTTACGTTACCTTCCTGATTGAAAGATATAAAATAACCTGAAGCAGTCTATTAATTAAGCTATGGAATAGCTTGAATAAAAAGCATAGCAATTTATACATGAAAGCTAGTTTACCAAGAGGATAATGAAAATAAATATAAAATATAAAAGTATACATTTATGTCATATATGAAAAACAAAACATTTGCAAGACAATATGTGATCCTATGGAAACATCTGCAAGAAAATATGTGATCATATGGCAACAACATACTATTGCCCTAGTTTAAGAACTAAAAAGTTGCACAAAATAAAAGAATTCATAAAAAAAAAAAAAAGTATTTGTCATCAGCTGTGAAATTCTACCCAAGCAGCGTCATTAAGTGTCAATTATGGATAATCATAATGTAACAATACACTTATAACATAAGCACTTTCATTTGATGTAACCTCACTTGATTCTCGATCAACTCTCCTCTAGTTTCTTTGAACGCAGATATAAATTAGCTGTTATTGATGAATTTTTTCTTGTACTTTGGGGGAGGGATTTAAAATTAGGGATCTGCTATGGATTTTGGTATTTTTAACATTAATCGGTTTAAGAAGTTGAAATTTCAAAGTTATGGAATTCTACCCCTTTCCCTTAAAAAAAGGGGGGGACTGTATTAAGGGACATGATATGGTCAGTTGTATATGACGGACAAAACAGTAATAGAATGAAACAATTACCTACAAGAAGTTGGCACTCACAGTGTTCTATATGGAACATTTGGTAAAATCGGACGGACTAATAAAATAGTAGAATTTAACAAAAGCCTTTTTACAAAGTGTAAAAATGAAGATGGCTGTTGTTTATTAAATAGAAAGGCATGAGCTTCCTCAGAATTTCACGTGAACGATTACTGCAACTTCAGCAGGATATCGTTTGAATGGAAGCCAACTTTCATAGCACAAGATAATATATTAAGTAATGAAAAATAATATAACTATAAATATTTTCAAGGTTACATATGCTGCACTACTGAAGCTTCTCAGAAATATTGAGAAGTCATCATTCAGAGCATCATTTGTGACGTGGATGGCTTTCTTCAATGGAATGTAATATCAGTGTAGAAGTATCGGGAAGTTTATATGGGAAATCATGCCATATTGCAAATGAATAAAATTAATCCTTCAGAAATAATTTACCGTAATTTCCAGAAGAAACGCCGCGGCATTTACGTGTTTAAAACTTAAATTTTCAGCGGGTGCGGCGTTTCTACCCATGCGACGTTTAGGTACACTAAAAAAAATATTTCCTATGATGTCACTGTGCATAGTTTGGATGACTTTATACATAGATTGGTGCTGTTCCCACACAAAAGACCATTCAGTTGCTTTTTGCAAACTTTATTTTGTTTACATTCTTTCCCTTGAACACACCTAAGTGCCTTATTCACCCTAAACGGGATCTCAAAACAATAACATTCTTCCCTCTTTCATATTAGCATTCTTATCAGTTTGAATAGTCTCTCTACTCTGCCATTCATTGAATCTTCCAGAACTCATCCTATCCCCACCCCTCATCCTATCCACACCTTTTCCATTGTAAATCTATTGCAATTTTTTTCAAAGGCGGACACGACTCACCTGCCTCGAAATAACGAAATTGACGTATTTCCCTCCGCATGAATGGATTTTTCTTGGCATTCTGCCAAAGAAGATCCATCAGTTTTGGTACAAGACTTGTGGATAGTTTTAATTAGGGAGCGGAAAATTTTGAAAATGTCTTTAACGGCACAGAAGCTATACATTTCTTACCTTTAATTTATTTTGAGTTATGTTTCATTTCATGCATTTTTCTAACTGGTATGTCATATATCAGGACTTAGGTTGCGTTTTTGCATCTATACGCCCACGACGATGTCACGCGCAATTTAATCTATTGCGGCGTTTCTGTGTAATTTAATTTTTTTCCGCCATTTTTCTCGAGTGCGGGTTTACGCTGATCGGCCTTTCTCCGGAAATTCGATATATAATAAATTATTCTGATTATGTTTTTGATATAAAAAAATTGTGCTTTCATAGTAACTGAAATTAATTCTTTATAGATGTATTTAGCACTTAAAACATTTCAGTGATTTGCTTTATACTTGTTTATGACCTAGTCAGGATAGAGAACAGTGGCAATGATTAGTATGTGATCTACCATTTTTAATTCTTTACTTATTAAGATGGCACCACTAAAATGCTATTCTTAATGTGAAAGTAAATACAAATAATTAAGAATACATAATAAAAATGTTCCATTAATTTATAATATATTAAATTTTTAATTTCAATAGTTTAATTTCCCCTTTTACAAAACAAAAACAGGAGTGGTACTTAAAAGGATTGTTTTTACAACAACAATAACAAAAAGTCTTCACTTTTATTAACAGATCTGTACCATGCTTCTGTGACATAACATGAAAGGAAGCATTTGTGGTGAAGTACTCCAAATTTCAATAGCTTCATAATTCAATAATAATAACTTAAATAAAAATTCAATAGATTTCATATTTGAATGAAAGATAACATGATGGGAACACAAATGATTAAAACAACTACAAATAATTTTAGTGGTACCATCTAAAAAATAACTAACTAAAAGGATAGATTGCATATCACATCATTATCAAATAGCCGTCATAGTGGCAGATGTTGGTCATTGTCAGAGATGCATGTCTGTAAAAAGTGGTTATCAATCAGAAAGTTCAAAGTTATAGGATTATACAGTCTTTACTTGCTGTTCTTATTACTTTTGTATGATATCTATTGAATTTTACATGTTGCTGTGTTTTAATTACATAACTTACTGACTAAATTTAAAAAAAGAGTAATTTTAAAATTTATATACATCACATATTTTTTAAACTTAATATCAAAAAACACATTTTTTTTAATACTCAGGATTCCATCCTCTTCATTATAACATACAGTTAATTCTTGTACTACTCTTTGTATTAATAAAGAAATAATGCACTTATAAATTTACATGTGTTTCAAGTTACTGCTACTTCCCTTCCTCCTTCTTTTAAATTATGCAAAATTACAATGTATACAAACTTTATCTATACAATTTAATGAGAAAACTACACAAAATCCTTCTCTTATATCAGGGTTTCTTAAACTTTCTTCAGTCGTGACCTCTTTTCATCACTAAGATTCTTTCGAGACCCCCAGGACTCCATAATAGTTACGAAAATTTTGTGGGCCCCATAAGTATTGCTCAAATCCGACATACGCGTTTGACAGTTGACAGTGAAAAAATTGACAGTTTGAAACTGTCAATTTTTTCACTTGTACTGTAATATACTATTGCAGTTTTAGATCATTAAATTTAATTTCTAATTTTAAGACGTACAACAATGGGAATATTTTAAATAAGTAACAGACGAAATACACTCACGTGCAAGCAAGTAAATGAACATTTCGATTGTAAAAGAATGTGTCGAAACATTTTCCTTTTTTCTTTGTCTGTATTATCTTATCTTTATCTATTTTCAGATACATTGTGTGAAAATATTTGGTAATTGTAAAATTATTACAATAAGCTAAAGAAAAAGCAAAACTGCTAAATTTTTTGGTGACCCCCAGTTTAAGAAATAGTAATCACAGTTTTCTAGATGCAATGATTATTAAATGTCACAGTTAAAAATAAAGAAATTTAATATAAAAATCATCTAAAATAAACTTAAGACTTTTAGCTGATAATAGTTTCATTAGAAATCAGTCCATCTTTATCAAAAGAACAGATGCTAAGGCTAACATTTGATGTAGAAATTGCAGTCATGAAAGTTGGGGTGCTTCTTGAGACATGGAATTTGGAACATGTTTTATGTGTTTTTAACAGGAAGGAATGTCGTATACAAGGTTGTTACAGAGGAAAATTTAAATACAACATAAGAGAATTCTCTGGCAGGAAAGTTTCTTTAGAAAACAGTGGAACAACAGCAACGGAAAATGAAATATAAGCTATAATATTTATGTGATTGTTATAGAAGAAAAACCATCAAAACTTAAAATGCAACGCAAGATGCATTGACCCATTTGTGAATGATGTTCTTTCCTTTCACTGCTCCATTTTATACTAGTACTCTGTACTGTAAAAGTATGGAAAATTTCTCCCATCTCCACATCTGTTCCTTTGATCAAGAATTTTGAATTCCCACATGTAAATGCAGTAAATAACTTACTTCTACTCAGAATAATGCTAGTAAAAATAATGCTTAGATACACAATATACTGAGTTTCATCAAAACTACAATTAGCAATAAATTATACATTTAATTGGCTCTAGTTTTTAATAACACAAATTTATTATCTTCATAATACTAAATGTTAAATTAATCTTTAGCGAAATAATTTACATAAGAATTTTTTCAATATACTGGCAATAAAGAGCAAAAAAGACGTTAACTTTGAAAAGGAAAAACTCACTTCTCAGATAAAAATTTAGCATTAGACCTATGAGCCGAAATTTGCACTTCTGCAGCAATCACTGAGTTTCTGCTTTGTTTTGCTAAAGTTTCCAGTTTACTAAGAGCTAATGAAGAATACTCAGAAAACTGATCTTGTATATGCTTCATCTGAAAAATAAATTATGAATTTCATGAATACCGCATGGAACATAAAGACGCTATCTCATATTCCATTTTTTAAAATAAGACATATAACACTATTAAAACTATAAGTCATTCAAGTAACAAATTATAAATTAATATATGTTAATATACAAGAAATAATTTTTATAGTGTAAGTTTATTCATAAAATTAATTATTATAAATGGAATTATTACAATATCAGAAAAAAATTATGTGTTTACTCTTAACATTTAAATAGCAAATGATATATTACATTTATAATAATTTCTTGAATTTAATATTAATGTAAATGTAAAATAAATAGATACTTCCTTAATAATTATGGTTTCTGTTTTATTTAAATCCCAAGATGGCATCAGGGTTATTACCACGTTCCTGTTCAATTTTCACGTTCACTTTGTGGCTGCCATGTTTCCGTGATTGTTTTTAACATGTCCGCTAACAGGCAGCTCATATATGAGCTACATAATTTCCTAACAGTGTGGGATGGTGGTAGAGGTGTAGCTTTGTTGGTTTTTACTTGGCCACTAAGCAAAGCACCACAGTCTTTCAGCATTTTCTGTAGAGCAATTGTGGCATCAAACAAAATTAATTTAGAATTTTTAGTAACGTCTCAAACCTAATAACTTTTCTTCCTTTGTTTTATATGATAACTGATAGATCCCTCCTGTACATGGTCACAATTTTTGTTATGAGTATGGCTGCTTTTTATTCAGAACTTGAGAAAGAATTCACTAGTTTTTCAGAATAACCCATTAAATATCCAGTAGCAATTGTGCAGTCCAGTTCTGTAGAGCAATTGTGGCATCAAACAAAATTAATTTAGAATTTTTAGTAACATCTCAAACTAATAACTTTTCTTTCCTTTGTTTTATATGATAACTGATAGATCCCTCCTGTACATGGTCACAATTTTTGTTATGAGTATGGCTGCTTTTTATTCAGAACTTGAGAAAGAATTCACTAGTTTTTCAGAATAACCCATTAAATATCCAGTACCTTGGAAGAACCCCATGGGCTTTGCTTTTTCCCTGTATGAACAAATTTTCCTTTATAGCTACAACTTTTTCAGGGCTCTTTATTCCCTTATTTAGTTGTTGAACGAAATGCAGAGAATACTCCTCTCTCATAAAACTATTTCAGTCAAGAGTTATATTTCTATAAAGGTTGAGTTGCTTATTCCACCACTTAATGACTGTCATTTCCCCTGCCCAATGGTAAATAAATTACTTATTGATACAAATAGTATTCTGAAACCACTGGATTAGTTCTTAAAACATGTGCTTTTCATTCATTTACAGCTTTTTATGCAGTACCTCCAAATGCTTTCACTGATATTTAGTTTTAATTAATGGCCCATTTTGCATATTCATATGCAAAGTAAAATGCATCTTTCTTGGAAGAAGGCTATAGTATCTTCCTAATTTCTCAGTAAATCAAGCATTTTAAAAACATTTGTTTTTTAAACAAAAATACGTTAACTTGTGGAATACTCAGAGCTTTTCTCGTACTGAAAAAAATTATGAGTGACCATGAATTGATAACATTTAAATGAAGGGAAAAAACATATGATAACATGATTCACTCGGAGTTGTTCTCATCGTTAGAAAACAATGCATAGTTGTTATTAGGATTACTGACCATTTGCATATAGATTTATTTATTTATTTATTTATTTTGCCGATTTAAATAATTTTGGTGCCGTTTACGAAATAGAGGCTGCAATAATAAGGAAATAACAGTAAAAAATATAAAGTGAACTTTCAACAACTAGACCTACTACTTTAAGAAATAATAATTATTTTATACAAGAGGTTGTCGACTTACTACATGTCAGATAGAACCAGATGTGACTTATGACCATACTTGATTTTGACTGTAAGTCAATTCTAGTTTCATCCCGATTTCAGTAAAAAATAATGGAAAAATATGAAATAATATAAATTGCAGCATAAGTACAAAGTTTTACAGCAGAAAACTAACTTTTGAATTTGGGCACTAGCACTAGCAGAAGCTTGATCATCTATTACCAGTTGTTACTGCAGCTATATTTTTGATTTGTTGCTCTGAATTTTTATAAATTTTATTAGCTTTGTCTGAAATGTTTGTTTTTTTCTTTTCATTATAAAATTCATGTAGGAACATTAAATTTCATTCGCCATTTTTTCTGCTCTTGTAAATTTCTCAAAGTTGGGTATCTACGAGTTCCAACATAGCAAGAAGTTGATTTAGCATTGTAAAGTATTCAGATAAACACTCTGTGACCTTTTTGATTTATGATTCAATTTCTTCACCTCCTTTCCTTATTTCTCTTCTTTCAAATCTTTCTTGTTCTAATTCAATCAACTCTTCATTGGTTAGTTCACTGGATTCTTGATTTACCAAGAGTTCAACATCTTAAACTTCATATTTCAAACAAAAAATCTTAAGCCCATGAACAATACTTTCATGAATTGTTTGGAGATCAATCTCACTGTCAAAACATTCAAATTTATTCATAAAATGCTTAACCAGGGTTTGTACACATTTCTGCACATGGAAATTAAGTACTTTTAAGCACTTTGAAGGACCACTAATGAAAAAAATTAAGGACCTATGAGCAAATGGGAACTGAATAAATTCAATTAAAAATATTATCTATGCCTGAATTTCACTTTAGTAACACCATCCTAAAAGTAAAATAGATCCCTACGTAGTATGAATTATTACTAAACATGAATTAATTAACATAATTATTAATAAGTTTGAGAATAAAATAAACTTTATGCAGTTTATCAAGCAGCATTAAATAGTTTACACTTATAATAGTTGGACATATTTGAAAGAAGATAAGTGACATTTACGTTTTACTAACAGTTAGCTTTATGTCGATTTTTTTTTTTTTTTTAATGTCTCATTTTGTCACATATGAGGGTTTACTTGATCTGGGAAAAGTTAAATAGTCCAAAATCCCCGCCAGATGTCAAGCAAATTATCATTATGTCTCAAAGTAACTTCAATATCAGACAAAGGTTTAAATAAGCCTCTTATTTAAAAAGAACTTAGAATATTAAGGTATGTTCTGATGCTAACAAAATTAATTATAGTTCACAATTAAACAAGAATAGTTAAATTCAAACTAAAAATGTGGACTAGTGGTCAAAGATTATACAATTTAATTTCAATTTAATCTGGCTCAGTAACTCTATCATATGAGGAAACAGAAATGGGAAATTATAGTAAAGGCTGAAATCATAAACAAGTGGGTAATTTACATAACTCTAGGTAATTTACATATCTTTAAAGAATATTTTTTTTATGTATTCAGTTTCTTTCTTCAGTATGTTTCCTTTCCATTTTAGAATTTAAATAAGGATTTCTGTTATTCTAAAAAACACTAAATGCATTTAGAATGTATAGAAAAAGTGGCTAATTTTATTTCTTTAGTAATATGAACATTCAGAAGAAATATGAAATATATATAGTAAAGGCTGGTTACAGAGCTGGTGTAGCAGAATTTTTAGAATTTAGTGACACACCCTAAATCAAAATCTAGAAATAGCGAAACTCTTAGAATTTAGAGCAGGCATTGGAAGCAGAATTATCTACAGAGATTGCATCAGGTGGGAAAATGCCTAGTGCCAGCTATGTGTATGATGCATTAAGAAATATTAGATGAATCTTTTAAATTATAAGTTTTCAATTTCTTTATTAATAAAAAATATCTTTCTATAATACCTGCCCATGTGATAAGATTAGAAGCATTTTTTATATTTTCCACGTTTGTGTCTAGTGAAAAGTAGAGAAGATAAACATGTTAAGAAAAAGATTCTAGTATCAGGAGTAAAACATTTAAATATTATGTTTTCATTGTTCTTCCAGACGTTCTCCAAAAAGTAAGAAATTCATCGCAAACTTCCTGTAAAATACATCCATTACTTGTTGATACCATGGAGACATTTTTCATTTTGTCACATATTTATCGAATCTTCTAGAATCGTGGGTCTATAAATCTTGCCTTCAGATCTTTCTAAACTTTCCAAGCTGCAATGTCTAAAATACTAAAGAAAAATTATCCCAACCAATACTGTAACAGAAAAATTATCCTTACGAATTCTGTAACAGCAGTGTAAAATTAATTTTATAAAGAAAACTGATGCATATTCTGAGAATTTTGAATATTCTGAGACAGTTACATGGGAAAAATTCTTACTATGAAAAAATTAAATAGACATTTTTAATTAATTGCATAGCTAATTTTGCTTTTGCTAAGAGGTATTTCGTAAATTGTGCTTTATAGCATTAAACCTTGTTTATTTTTCAGATTCAAAGTATTGTATAATAAGTTGCCAAAATGAAACTTTACAATATGACAGCAAAAAATAAAAATGTTTTATTTTAATGTTATTTTTTAAATATAATTTCAATATATTACCATTATTTTAATGAAATTTATCAATGTTACAATGTTTAAAAAAAATCGTCCAAAATTTCTCAGATCTCAGAATTAAAAATTTTCTACAGAAACTGATCTTAAAATAGCCAAATGTTGACAAGTCACCTAATAAAAGAATTTACATCCCCAAAAGCAAAAAGTTGTTTAAGAGCTCATTATTAGAAAAAATGAATTTCAAAATGCTTATGTTTCACTTCTTGCTTAGAAACTCAAGTATGCCATCATTTATATTAGAAATAGAAACACATTATAACCCATGAACCCATTCAAAAGATAACCATATATGTCAGTGAATCACCAAAAATATTCCCCCAAACTGCTAATTCACACTCAAAATGGCAGTCGTAAAAACAGACAGAAATTTCAGATGATTAAAATTAAGGATCTTTTGCTGATTTTGGCCAAAATTAAGGACTTTTAAGGACCAAAAATCATTTCCAAAAAATCTAAGGACTTTTTAAGGACCCTTAAGAACTGTACGAACCCTGTATAACCCATGAACCCATTCAAGAGATAACCATATATGTCAGTGAATCGCCAAAAATATTC